AGATTTAAAGATATTTTAATATATATATTATATTTGACATTGAGATTTTGAGAACTCTTTTTAGTAGTTCAGTTATTGCATTAAAAGAATACAGCTGTTAGCAATCTTTAAGTAATTCTATAAGTACTTGTTATACTTTAATTTATATTCAGTCTAAAGTCATAAGTATTATTGATACTTTGAATTGTTATTAAGACATCAAAAGTTCTCCTTTGAATATTCCTTAAATTTTATAAATATCTTTGAGTATTTTGAAAGCTCTATCAAAATGATAACAATACTAGTACCCTTTCTCTCATTCAGTTTTATTTCTTTAAGCATATAAAGTTGATTTTGAATTTTTGTTATAATATTATATTAATTTTGATTTGATATTTTTGACTTTGATATTTTGATTTATACTTTTTGATTTTTTTTATATTTTTGATTTTATATCTTTATGATATTAAATTTATTTAAATTGTTATTTTTGATTTATACTTTTTAGTATTAGTATTTTACATTTTAGTTTAGTTTTTCTCTAATTAATAGTAGCTCTACTTATTAATCTTATTTTATTCTTTTCTTTATATTTTTACCCCTTTTTTAAATTACTTTTGTAATTTAGATCTTTAAATATACAATATCCATAAATATTGGCACAGACCTTAGAAACCTTTGCTAATATTAATAATTCATTCGCTTTACTTAAGTTTAATTGTTTCTCTCCTAACATCATATGCTTATAGTGATTCTTAGTGAAACTCACTATTCAGAATTGTAGTAATATTATATTACTTTATTGATCATGAGTTAATACTTGTAATACTGTTATTAGTAGTTAAATTTTGAATAGAAGATTGATTTAATTATTATGATTGATATTTATTGATATTAATCTATATAAGAAAAGATTATTTCTTGATGAAATATTACTATTATTATTTGGTCAAGTATTTTAATTATTTTAACTTTGCTGATTCCTAATAATATTTTGTTGATAAAAGCTGATATTATAAGACTTATTGCAATTTTTCAATAGATATTCAATCTTATTACAATTATAACAAATTGATAGTTGATAATTGTTATTATAAAAATAGTTTTAGTTATTATTTCTTGGTTGAAATGCAGATTTTCTTAATATTTTAGAGTTACTAATCTAATAATAAAATTCTGAAGTACAATTATAAGCTGAATAAAATTAGATATTGGTCTGCTTTGAATTTGATGAAATATGATAGTTAACTTTTCTGAGTTGACTTTTTCAATAGTTTTGATTATATAAATAATATTTAATAGTATTCTATCAGTATTTATTTTAATCTATTTGTGAATTTCTAATTTTAGATCTCATTTATAAGTTTTAATTTTGTAATTATCTGGATAAGTATTGATAAAATTCACTTTCTTTAAGAGAATATTAAATTGATTAGTATATTCATTAATACTTTCAATTTGTTGAAGAGTTTCAAGTTTATTTTGCTATTATTTAACTTTGCAAGAAATACAGAACTTTAATATAAAGCAATATTTGAAATTATATTTATTATTTTTAGAATTTGTTTAATTATTTAATACAAAAGTATTGTTAGTAGCTTTTTAATTATATCAAGTGATAGTAACACCTTTCAAATATCTACATATAATTTGAATTTTATAAATATTAATAATTTCATTGACAATAATAATAATCTCAAAATCTTTGAGTCATTCAACTGAATTTTAATTAAATCCTTGAATTTATAAATTGAAATATGATTTTTTTAGCTTTTAATTCAATAGTAAGTATAATTATGAGAGTATTTAGATTATTAAAAAGATTATTCATATTAATTATTTTTTTGTTATCTAATTTTTTAATTACTTCTTCTTGTTTAGAGTTTAGTTCTTCTTTTGATAATTATTCTTGATTAGAAATATCAGATTTTTCTTCAGTATCAATTTGTATAATTAATTATTCTTGAAAATTGATATCTTATTGTTCTTTTACTGGTTTTTCTTTTATTTCTTCAATAATTATTTGTTAGTTTTTTATTATTTTGATGTTGCTGGCTATTTCAAAATAGTAACTATTAGATATATTAGAATTTTTTTGAATTTTAAGTTGTGAAAGCCTTTAAGTATTGTTCTAATTAGATATAATTAATGATCAAGTATGTATTTGTTTTGATAGATTAGAATATTCAGTAGTTAGATTGTTTATTTTTTTAATTCTTTAGTTTTAATAGTAACAAGATTTGCTTTAAAGATATTTTTAAATAGTTATTCAATGATAAAAGATCCAGATATTATATCTTATTTTTAAATTCAAATAAGAAAATTAACTAAAGATTCAGTTATTATATTAAAAGATAGAAAGTAAATATAACAAAAGTATTATTAAGGAATTCAGAGTGATATTTCTTAATATTATATTTTCAAGTGAGTGTTAAGATATGAGCTAATAGATTTTTTAATAAAAATATAATAATCATTCATAAAGAGGGTTTAAATAAAAAGAAGAAATCTTTGAAATAATCTACAGAGAGAGCATCAAAATATTATAAATTTGTTTACTAATCATTAAATTAGTTTACAAACTTGAATTTGAATTGAGAAAGAGTGATAAACTTATAAAAATATTAAAAAAAAGTATCTAAGTCTTATGCCAATTTTTATGGAAATTATATTTACTTAAAAAGGGATAATAATATGGAAAAATAGTGAGAAAGTAAAGATTAAAGAGAAAAAATGATATAAAAGAATAAAGAAATAATAAAAAAGATTTAAAAGACTAATTCTCTGTACTTGTATAAAGCTTTCCAAAGCTAAGACAATATAATTAATAATAAGAATAACAAAGATTCTTTCACTTTGTTCTTTTCACAAGTGAGAAATATTTGTTAACAATCAAAAATTCAAATAACAAAAATTAAAATACTTAAAATCCAATTTCAATAATTTTAATATAGTAATTTGTTTAGTATAATATAAAACTCAATAATTCAATAATAATAATAATTTATTCAGTACAATATAATATAAAGTTCAAAATTAATAACAGTGATTTGCTCATTAGTGCAATATAATATAAAGCTATCAGTAATTTGTTAAATATAATATAATATAAAATCACTTATATACAAGATTTAAAATGCATAAAGAAAATATGAGAGGTGAAAAATATTTGGAAAAAGATTTTTGTTAAGAGATTTTTATTTTTAGTTACAACATGTCAAGTTAAAATTCAGATGACATCTCTATTTATACATTTTTCAAAAATACAATTTCAAATAACAATAACTATCTAAAAGATAAAATCACTAATCGAAAAGATATAATAAAAGTAAAATAAAAGATAAAATAAAAGGTAAAAAGTAAAATAAAAGATAAAATAAAGGTAAAAAATAAAATAAAAGGCAAAATAAAGGTAAAAAATAAAATAAAAGATAAAATAAAAGGTAAAAAGTAAAATAAAAGGTAAAATAAAAGGTAAACTAAAAGGTGAAAAGTAAAATAAAAGGTAAAAAGTAAAATAATTTGAGAGTTTTATGTTATTACTGTAACAGTATAAAACTTATGGAAGAAATAAAAAACAAGGGATCAATATTAATAGCAGACAGACAGACTATAACATCATGCTTATTTCATCCGATTCATCAAAATCCGAGTACGCATCTTCCCTTTCGGGATCCGAGTAGTCTACTATATAGTTCCCCAAAAGAATTCTCGTAGAACTCGTAATACGTTGCGAATCTTTTTTTGAGCCAGAGATGATTTCGGTGATGTTTTATTTTTTCTTTTTGATGATGAGGACGACGCAGAGATTCTTAACTCTACATTAGAAGCATTTGTAATGCTTTGCTATGTTTTGAGAATAATTTCGTTTATATCTTTTTTTTCTATATTTTTCAAATAAAAAATGGCTCTTATAACCAAAGAACTATCGATGATGATAGCACTGGTATTTTATAATTCAATTATAGATTTCGACTTCTGTATCATTGATACTATTAGAGATTGGACCCGGGTTAGGTACCCGCGGGTGGGTCGGATATCTGGATTGCGGTCGTAGCTACTCGGTGGATGTGGCGAAAAAAAAGTGACGGCCGGTACTTGGATACTTCGGAAATCGAGATTATAAAAGTGACGGATCACTTACGGACAGTTTGCACACCTACTCCGAATCCTGGGTGTGTTTCTTCAAGCTGCGCTTTGATTTCAGCCGCCGTAAGGAAATGATTTGAATTTATGACTTGACTGGTTTGGCATAGCATTTCAGGAGACATTTTTTGTGGACGACTAGAACGACGAATATCCAGAAGTTGTCCATTTCCCGAAGTGAAGCAATGTAACGTTCATAAGAGCGGAACGCCAGTTTTTTACGAAATTCTCGCCATAATTTCTTCAGTCAATGGTTGGATTTTACGGGGATTGTATAAGTCGTTTTTTGTTTACATTCTGGTCGCAAAACAAAGGTCAATCGCGTTTTGGCGGGTGCTGTCTGACGAAAAATACGAGTCACCGCCATTCCTTTCCGTGCAAAGATCAGAATAAACATTTTCCCTTTCGGGATCTGAGTACTCTACAAGTTCATTAAAGGAATAGAATTCGTAATTTTTTTTTATCCAGGTGTATTTGAGTATATATATTTTTTGGATATTTTTTGAATATATATTTTTTTGGCTATTTTTTTTGAAAAGGAAAGCGTATCGGTATATATAAGAAAAAAATCTTATTCGAAAAAGGAAAAAATCCAAAAAAGCAAAAACAGAAACAAAACATTTCAAAAAAGGAAAAACATTTGAAAAAGGAAAGTAAACAAAACATTTAAGGATTCCCATGATCGTAGTACATGTACACTAACGTTCTCGGTTACACAAAATTTTACGCCTCGCATCAGTCTCACATGTATCAACTCGGGGTAATGTCAATCAAAATTGAGAATTTTGATAGTATACAAAATACGTTTTTTAAAGATCTCAATTTATTTTGTATAATTAAAACGATTTCTTTAAATTGCGAAGAACAACCTCTTAAATTGTTGATAAAATCAATATTAGTGGTAAAATTTTAATTCGCTTATTGTAGAATAAATCCTAAATTATTACCGAAACCCTAAATTATTGCCGAAACCCTAAAACAATATCAAATGATCAAGTTTTCTGAATTTTGTGCTGAGCATTTTTACTTAGAGGTCAAAGCTAGTTATCTAGTAATTTCGCATTATTGTGATTTTTGAGCTTTAATTTTTTATTTGAATCTTGTTATACATGTAATTGATCTTGTAATTGGTGACACATGCCAATTCGTGAATACGTGGTGTGATCATTATCATTACTAACGAAAGGAATTAGTGATTTTAGTTGATTCCGCAGAATGCGAATTTAATGAAAAAGTGGCGATTAGTCTACAGCCAGGGTAGATGTATATAGATGGTGGGAAAGAGATAAAGAAATAGCAAAAGGGAACAAATCACTATAAAAGTGATTCGTCGTGCTTGATACATGTATAGAATTTCTTTTAATAATTAATTGTTGTTCAGATTCTCTTAGTTAATAGCGTAAGACCTGTCTCTTGCTATGATGTGTATCAACGCATGAAACTGGCAGAGGCATGGCTGAATCGAGAAGTTAAATATAGTCATGATAGTAGAGTGGGTAGTAAAGCAAGAAAACCTATCACACTTCGCGTTATCCAGCAAATTCGAACGGTAAATTTGACGAAAGGAACCTCAGCTGTCTGGTAGAAGAGCGGGATACATATCGATCAGAAATGTATTCGTGTCATCACCAGGAACCACAGAAGAACCAGTATCAAGTTGCTTAGAAAGATCACAACGGAAACTAGAACCATCCGGAAATAGTGAAGGAATTTAAATCAACTAAACTGTCAATGTCAGTCAGATAACCATTTGGATTATCTCATTCTGATGATTCAGGCTGGTTAATCAATATGAAAAAGTATTGGAATAATAAGGACAATTATTTTATTAGCGTGAACACGTACGCATTAAACGATGAGATAAAAAGAAGAGTAACATGAGAAGAACGCATAAAAAAGAAGGCTCTTATAAATTTTATTGTGTAAATAACAAAATACTCTTTTTTAATATGTTGTAGACGTAAAATGTCATTAATCATGTTAATATAAATTGAAGTTCTATGAAGATATAGTATTAGCATTTATTTTGAGATGCAATCTTTGAATTTATTTTATTAACGTTAATGATTATGACAGTGTTTCTTTAAAAACAATGATTTATATCGATATGCGCGGGAGACGTCGTTCAAGTCCGTATGTATGAAAGACAATATACTAGATGTATCTGAAATACATAATAAAATACATATCGATCGACATCGATACGTATATCTGATAAAGAAATTCCAAAATAAGGTATGGTGTCTAATACTGCGTATCATGATTCTGCCGTAAATAAACTTCCCAATTTATGAATAACTGCTGCAGCTTTAGTGTATGGCTTTCTAAAGGACTCCGCAAATTTCTGCCGGATCAGTTAGTTCAAAACCGACAATTTGAGTTTTACTATTATACATGTTCTAATTTTTGTTCCCTGTCAGTTTTTCGTATTTGGAACTACTGTAATATAACGGTAATAATTGAGTTGGTTGACCTTGTTGTGAACTCCGCTACCATAATACGTAAAATGTATAAATTTAGATACTTATAAATTATTCGCTGCATAGAACATCATAATTTCTTTCTGAAGGAGAGTTCCTCTGGCGATGGCCAAAAAGTCCACAATTTTAACCTCGAATATTGCAGTTATTCTACTGGCTGGCCATGAGGTTGATTCCTCTTATAAAATCGACCTTCATTCACTACGTAGTATAGGATTTGAAGGGTTTCCACTTTTGATCCAGAAAAAGTGACTGATTGTTTTGATGAAACGTTTGTGACGATTGCGATTTATTAATTATTATTATAATCGGAAAAGGCATTGTTGAGAAACCTGCGTGATTGAGATTAAATAACCCCACGGCATAAAACCTCAACATCAATATCCGAAGATATTGGCACAAGACTTTAAAAATTAAAGTAGTGTTAGTCTACCCGCTCCTTCCACAAGTTACCCTAATCCCCCAATTGACTCCTAACCTGTAACAATGATCGTGGTACCGATTGCAAAAAAATGAATATTGCCATTCATGTTATGAATATCACAAACGAACTTCTGTTGAATGGTCTAACGAAAATAAAGATGTCGACAGTCTAATGAATGATTCCTTTGAAAGATTTATCGATGTTGAATATCTTGCAAGAGGTTTGGAACAACTTACAAAGAATATTGGCTGGACAAATTATTAACTGCGTTTTGGGATCATGAAGAAAATAAATTCAAATGAGATAAAGAACTCAATGTTGTTGTGTTGCACGATTAAAAGCAAATTAAATCCGAGTTTATAAACAAGGTAAAATAGACACTTTAAAGTGTAAGCATATTATTAACTTTTCAAAATTAGATTCGGACTTCTCTAAATTGCACTTTGTGTGTTAACTTATAATATTATGAAATAGCTAAAGATGAATACTCGACAGTGATGACTTATGCAAAAGATGGTGATATATTAATTCAAACAACCTGGAAACAAAAATGTTATTTAGTTCAGATTACTGAAGGGTTACAGTGAGATTTTGTGAATTGTGACTTTCGCCCTGTAAATATGTTATTAGTATATAAGCATGCTTTCATTGCTGATTTTGGACTTACCAAACCAGCAGATATAAAAAATCTGTTAAAAAATTTGCTGAGTACTTCCTTATATGAGCCCAGAGGTACTAAAAAGAAGCCCTAAAGTTGCAGATATTTATAGTTTGGGATGATCACGTATGAAGCAGTCACAGGCAGTGATGGTAAATTTTGAGATCATTTGCCTTTTTTTCAAATAACCTTGGTCATTTTCGACTAAAATTTATAATAAAATTGAGGTCATTTGAGGGTCATTTCAAGGTCATTTACCATCACTGGTCACAGGTGAGCGGAACGGAGCCATTATCATTACCTTGCGTCTATAAAGTAATGTTCCTAAATGTTGCAAATTTATTATTGAAAAATGTCCCAGAAAACAGAACTCTAAGATACGCGAAGGAATCATTGAACATCTTAACTATAAAAAATAAATGGAACTTGATGGGAAGATGAAAAGCATTTCTATAAATACGAACAAACAACAACAAATCCACTCAACATTGTCGGGTCCCAAATCGCGATTGTCCCAATCTGCAATCGAAGGTAATCCCAGGTGGCGGCATCATTTGGTGTGCCCCAGATTACAATCGTTATTTGGAATTACCCAATTGCCAATTGGGATGCGATGTTGCCATTTATAGTTACATAGTTTATTCCTTATATCAATGAAATTGCAGGACTCAAAAAAGGCAAAATCAAAATGAAAAACAATGTCAAATTCCGGTGAAATACAACATTGAATTTTGCAACGAAATCCCAAGCACACAGTGGCAAATTTCGTGGTAAAATGCAAAATTGAAACATTGAATTGGCAGCAGAATTCTGACAAATTCCATGGCAAAATACAACATTGAATTTGCAGCAGAATCCCAAATTATTTGAAAATTTCGACAAGCATCCTTTAGTAGAAACACTTTCGTAAGCCTGCATTTACACGTCTTATATGCTTTTCTATTGTGTATAAATATGTCCGAAGGAAGCGCGCGGAAACAAGAGGTACAAAAGATAATAATTGAGCGTATACAGAAATTCCCCCACCCATCGAGTTTTAAATAAATTTCGTGTTTCTCAAGATATTTAACTTGTTTACAAAAATTATTAGCAAAGTCCAATATCTGTATTTTTCCGCTAATGTCAAAATGTATAGTAATAAAAATACCGTATGTATTAAATCCTTCAGCATTTAAACGTGTTTCTCAATACACCCACACTATTTCCAATTTTTTACAAAAGTCATTAGTCAAAATGCATACCAATAAAAAAAGCCAATACCATATGAACGCAATAATTTATATTTTTCAAATAGTACAATAACACTTGAACGTGTTTATTATAAAGTTTATTGGAAATAATCGGTTTACAAATTAACTCAAGACGTGAAGTATTTTTTCATGACCACGCGGAACAAATTACACAGTAACATTAAAAAATTCATTTCTGTTATGTACATGGAGAAATTCAACGATTCTATCACCAGAATTTCCATATGGAAATTCTTCGATTGTTAAAAGCTCTTGACAAAGTTCAAAAATCAGAAGTTAACCAATGTATCGTTACGCCAATATATGGAATGTGAAATTGCGTCCAGAAATGGCATCTAAAGTCATAAATATAAAATGGATAAACTTTACTAAGAAGTAAATACAAAATTTAATCCGTAAATATGCTCAGAAAGATCCTATTCTATCATATTTACGGATTAAATTTTGTATTTACTTCTTATAAAGCAGTTTATCCATTTTATAAAATACAAACGTTTGATGACTTTAGATGGTATGCACCATACAAGTATCTATTGAGTGACTTATTTATATTGTAAACGTTCTTCTGCAAATATTACGCATTCACCTAATTTTACTTTTTTTGTACTGACACATGGTATAGAAAATCGTTCGTCTAAAGCCTTGCATAAATTAACGAAAGTTGGTGTCTCAACAATATTGAAGGCTATAAGTCTTCAACTATCCATTGTAATAAATTAGCCATAATGCATTGATATCGCTTATCTGAATATTTGTATGGTTTTAAATCGTATGTGCCAGTTTTTGATAGTTGAATTTGCTTATTCGCTGGTTCAGAAGAATCATTAATGGAAAAGATTCTATGCACTTTATTTAAATGGTTTCCAATATCAGTGGTTGAACAAGAAAGTTTAAGACAATTTCTACATGGAACTTTTGCATTGTTTCTCTCTATTAAAACCTGGCAATATCAATAATTTCTTATCAACGTATTATTATTATGGTTTGTTTGTTGTGTGTATTTAATTGTTGATAAGACACGAATACGAAGATAAATTTAAAGATGATGGGGGAGAAAAAAGTGATATGTCAGAAGAGAGTCACGAGAAGTGGATGGGCTTGGAAAGTCATTTGTTGATCAAATTTTCAATGGTAAAAGTTACCATAAATAGTAATAGAAAGGAGTTTCAGCCAGGCCAGGCAGGTCGACCTGGCTGATCGACATAGGGCTGACTTATTTCGCTATTTTATAATGTAAAAAAATGTAAAATTATCGAAGATATAAATAATCAATTTTTTAAAGCTTATTTAATAAATAAAGAAAGTTACATAATATTATAGGGTGTGTTATTTTTTGAGAAGTTAGAAACTATTAACTTTTGTATAAATATTTTTATTATTAATATTGTTTTTTTTAAATAAATATTTTTATTATTAAATACAATTAAAACTATATTCTTTGTATGGTCCAGTGCAAAAATATTCATACCTAAAAATAAAAATTAATAATTACTTCTAATAAAAGTCATCCAGAATTTAACTAATTTCTATAATTTTTTTACATTAAATAAAGAATAATCTAAACTAACTATTTATATTATTCTTTTGTACTTTTATTAAGAATAAATAATGCAATACTTTTCTAAAAAAACAAAATAAAAAATTATTTTTATCAATTTGCTATATTAGAACTTCAAATATTGTTATAGATATATATTTTAAATTTCATAAAGATTGAATCAGTAGTTATTGTGAAATTAAGTCTTAAAGTTTAACAATTAAATTATTTAATATATACATTTAATATTAATTTTAATCAAATTTTATATAGTAAAATTTATGAATAAGAATTCAAAAAAGTTATTACTAGTAAAAATTTTTTTTATGAAATATATATAATTAAAATATATATATTAAAATATATATATTAAAATAAATCCTAATATCTAATGACTTAATTAAATAAGACAGAATTAAAATTTTATTTTAAAAAAATAATTTATTGATGATTATTTGAGGTATAATTCTTTTTGCACCAGACCAAATTATAGTTTAATACTGTTTTAAGAATAATATCTTTTTTGTAAGTTTTTAAAATCTGTTCTGTATATAATAATTTTTATTATTAATTTCTCTCATAATATGAAATACCCAATGAATGAAACCTGTTATTGTTTCTATAGATAAAAAATAAGAATGTACTTAATGTTTTATGCCAAGATAGTCAAAAAATAGAAATAGTACATATACAAACTTTACTTGAAAAATCAACAAATAGAAATTCACAGGATTTTTATTCATTCAATAAAAAAACGCAAGAATAAAAAATGGCAATTCCGAAATTGACGAGTTAATTGGTCGTCGTTCAATCTTTCAGATTCGTAATTTATTATATCCACCAAAGAAAAAGCAAAAAAGACGGTTCTCGGGGTAATTCCTCACTTCTACAATAAAAACAACAATTGTAATTCAATGAAGAAATCATCAAGCTTCTCGAAATCACAAGCTACTAAAATCGAAGAAACTGTTAATAACCTGATCACGGCAAATACCGTACCGTATATGGCCGAACATAAGCAACTTCGAATATAGAAACCACTCCCCTTTTGGGGATAAACTCGATACAATTACAAATACCAGATATAAACAACTTCAAACGCTCTGATATTTGAATATAAGTAAGCACCACTCTTGCAGGGTGAAAAAACAAATTTATTAGTTGCTTGAGTTCGGTCAGATACGGTAATAAAGAGACAACTACAGCATCATCACCCTTTAGTGAATTTAGCTCAAAGTTTTCTTTTTAAACGTTAATGAGCTTCTAAATTTAACAGCAAATTTGGGCGACAATATTTCTTCGATAGAATTCGTTACGGGTAAAATTTGCCGACACTAACTACAACAAAAAAAAGCAAATCAAGTCGACCTATTTGAATAGCGCTCCTATTAACGAGTTCGGCTCGTTTCTGGCGAACAATTATTTTTACTTCCAATTTTGATCAATATCTCTTCGAATAACACAAAACTCATGTTATATATTGACTAAAGGATGAATTACAATCTTAAACTTTTTAATATGTATAGTAAAATAAGAATCACTATAAGATACAAGCTTTCAAAATAATAAAATTTAATAATAATTTCCATAAAAGGAATACATTAGAGAATTTGCATTGATGTTCGTAATGTACACGCGTACAGTCTAAGAGCAATTTTTAAAAACACAAGTTGCGTGTCAAACAATTGAAACTTATGATAATGAAAAACATTCGTTTTTTGCTACAATGACGATTGAGGATGAAATCTGAACATAATTGCAGGTTCTCAGGTGTGCATTTTCTAAATGACATTTTAGATTTATATTGCATACATTTAAAGCATCAATGTTAATTAAGAAATTAAACGTTACTGCAATTCAATACATGCTATTGCATTTACGTTATAATAAATGGGTCTAAGAATACAATTTAACAAAAGTTCAATAATCAGAGCAAAGTAGTTTTTACACGAGCTAAATAAATTGAAATATTTATTATATAAAGATAAACTAAAAAAAACCGAAAGTAAAATTGTATTTTAAAAAAACTTACTTAAATTTGTACTCGTCGTCGCTTTTACAGCACGATCTAAGAATTTATTTTTAGATCAATTAACGTTAACACTAACGCTAATAATAAATCAACATAATAAGAACGATGACGATAAAATTAATTTTCATCTTCTTCATCCGTTGTTGGTAACGAAACCACTATTTCATATCCATAATCAATTTCCTTAACTTCTTCTTCAGTGGTATTCTCTAAATTCTTAATTTCCTTTTCAGTGGTATTCTCTAATTTTTTATTTTCTTCTTCAGTGATATTCTCTAATTCTTTCTCTTCAGTAATCTCAAATTGAAATTCAATTTCCTCGAAAGTATCTTCATCTCCACTTTCTTTATTTACTTCGTCTTCATCATCCGAATCTTCATTCTCGGATGTTTTTCTGATTTTCGACTGAGAAGAGGCATTACTTGGTTAAGGCATTGATTGTTAAAAATAAAATTCAAAAAAATTAATCACCAATATATTAAATTCTTTTTTTTGTTGTTTTTGTCGGAAATATCTGCGTTTATTCGCAAAAATCGACTGCACCAATTCATCAACTACCCACGAGTCACGACGAGTTGAGAGTGCTGGATAGGAAGAAAATATCTGAAATAAGAGGAAAAAAATAAATTGAGAATCGATAAGAAAAATGAGCAGAAAAAACAAAATACTGAAGAAATAAAATAAGCAAACCATATTTTTGCTAGCCTTGAGCGTTCTTAGAGTTTGGGAATCTAGAGGAAATTCAATATTTAAAAAACTTGAAACAGCCAAGTTTCCTAACGACTATAATTGTAAGAATATTAAAGAATAACCTTCAAAAACATGAAGAATCAATACCCAATTAAACGAAATTCAATTGCTTACTCTGAATTTATTATACTCAGCTTTAGTCAAAGTCATACAAGCCTCTAAATTTATATATCGTTTGTTTGGTCTGGCTGGGACCTTTACCAAAGATTCGTTATTTTTATGCAAAGAGATGGAGGACATTGATGAGAAGCTAGACGAAGATGCAAATTTAGACGGAATGGTCTTGCGAGCTCGTTTCTTAGTTTTCGTCGGTGCACTTTGGCGAGGTAATGTCAATTGATGATTGCGTTTTTCATTTACAAACGTATCATCGTATCTGATTATTGCTCCATATTTGTCGATATCTATATTATTTGCTGATGTCATTTTATATTAATAATAACTCTAACCCAAAATTCAACAAAAGTGTTTCAAAAACTCTTTATTAGAGATTATTTATAATAATGTTTTTATTAATATCAAAAAGAACAAACGGAGGTGGAAGATGGAGAAGAAGATAGACAAGTAAATTTTTGTTCAAATAAATATTTTGAAAAAATTAAATAATCTATAACTAGATTACGTGTGTTGAATTGACGTCGTGCAAGCGTAAAAAGCTATATTATGTTGAATTGACATTATGCAAGTGTAAAAAGCTAGATATATATGTGTGTGTGTGTGTGATAATTCACGGTATGATGCTACTTTTCAAATGCAGCACTGCTCCATATGCTGAATATCGATCTCTACTGCCCGCTACAACTAGGAAGATAACCAGACCAGACTAACTTTCTGTCACAGACAGCTATAGGGGTTGTTGAGCAGATTTTGTGATTTTAATTGATAAAATTTTAGTGTATGCGTGTTTGATTTATTTTTAGAATATTTGATGTTATACAAATAGCTACCTTCCACATTTCGCAATAGTTGTAAAAGAACAAGACGGAGGCAAGCAACTCTAGATAAACCACCCCAGAAAATTCTACAAAAAGTTTTTTGAGCTGAAAACTTATGTCATCTTCTAGTGTATGAGTGTTTGATTTGATTTTTTGTTCTTTGTCCAATTGTTTCTACAGTCATCCGGATGAATTTACTTGAATAACGATTAGCGACAACAAGAATATACAAATGAATCTTATAATATATTTATGTGTATAGTATGGAAAATGCCTCTAGGAAATTTGATCTCTTATAATCGCAACCTCTTTTTGTTGTTCAAATTGTGAATATATAAATACAAGAGATGGGTTGTATGTGGAATTTAGTTTTGTATGGAATATTAGTTTATCCAATTATTATTTAAGGGCGACAATAAACAACAACAAAAAATAACTGCCTCAAAGATTTTACCAATTACAGTCCTTAGCATAAGTAATTGATTTCGGATAACTTTCCGAAAATTATGTTTAATGTTCTAAAATTTTCTGAGCATAAAGAATATTACAAATGCTGATCATTGATATCTTTTTATAAATTGATAGAGCTTTTACATTGGATATTGTATGTTCATAAACTTTTGCATCCCAAATATAATCAGTCATTTCATAACACATCTCAATATCCAATAATCTAATTTTTGACATCCAATGATTTGACTTAAACAAAAATATTATTATTCATCTACTTGAGGCAAATCAAACAGTACTATTTTTGTTCAAATTATTCATTTTTTTGATATTAACAAAAATGAATCAAATAATTAGAACATGATATCTCAATTTTCAGTAATCTGATTCAAATAAAATAGTATTTGATTTGTCTTGACTATATAAATAAATCAAATGATATTATTTTTGTTCGAATAGTATCACTAGAGATCGAGATATCATGACTGATTCATTTTTTTGGCAATTAATTTCTAATGAAAAATTGATCAATAAATATGAATCAGTTGTTTTAGAATATAATATTTCAATATCTATGGAGCATATATTAATAACCCAAAAAAAGAAGAATTAGAAAAAAAACCAGCCCTTAATATTAGTTACATTCCAAATGGAGTAATTAGGGGAATTATGCAAGAAGAAATAATTAAAGACAATTTGCTAAATTCTTTGGTAGTGATTCAATTTGAGTGAAAATATCACTAAATATTATATTCTAAAGTGACTAATTTATTATATTTAGAATATAAAAGTTATGAACATACAATATTTAAGAAAAAAATAAATTTAGTTCAACTAGAAAATTAGAATTTGAAAACATTAAAAATCTTAATAAAGATAAATTTGAAATTAATAAAAAAGAACTATTAAATGGATTATTATTAAAAATTCATGAAGAAATTGATAATCAAGTTATTTTTAATATAGAAATTAAAAAGAACTATATTCAATTAAAAGATCAGCAAATTTTTTACTTAATAATTAATTAATTAATAATTATTTAAATTATATTGATAAAAAGAGTTATATAAATAATTTGAAATAATTTATAAATCTCTTTTTCAATCTATACTAAGCAAAAAAACTGACTTAACTGAGAAATAATAGCAATAATTAAATTAACTATTAGCTGAATATAATAATCTATTCAATATTTCAGATTCTGATAAAATCAATATTAAAAATAATTGATCAATTGCATTAAAATCATATTATAGAAAATTATTATTAGAAAAAAATTTATACAAAGTGAAATTAATTGAATGCTGAAACAAAATATTATTTTATTATTAGATAATTTATAATTTGTACTAATAATTATAACAAAGAAAAAAGATAAAAAATTCTAATTTTGTATTAACTATAAATAACTAAATAAAATTATCATAAAAAATAACTTTTTATTATTACAAATTAATAACTTATTAGATATTTTTAAAGATATCAAATATTTTTCGATTGTTATCCTTACTTATAGATATTAATATATAAAAGTAAATTCAAAAAATTAAAAAAAGACTGCTTTTATTACTGTCAAAGTTTATACAAATTTAATATGTTTTTTGAACTTACAAATAGATCTATAATATTTTAATGACTAATAAATTAAATATTTAAATTACACATTAAAAAATTTTAGTAGTTTATCTTAATGATATACAAATATATTTTTAAAGATATTTAAAGTATACTTACAATATTTGAGAACTATATTTAACATAATTCAAAAAGTGAATTAAAACTACAGCTTAATAAAGATCACTTTGAAAAAATATTACTTTTATTTCTTGAATATATTATTGATAAAAATGGAATTTAATCTGATTTAGTAAAGATTTTAATAATTCAAGACTTTTCAAAACCAAATAATTTAAAAATATTAATAGATTTTTTTGGACTTGCTTTTTATTATCAATAATTTGTAAAAGATTTTGCAAAAATTGCTATATTATTGCATTATCTAATGAGAAAAAAATAATTATTCTATTAGAATAATAAATATTAACAAGTTTTTAAACAACTAAAACAAAAATTAATATTATTATTAATATTAATATATTCAAATTTTGACAAATTATTTATCTTATTTACTAATACCTAGTTTTAGACTTAATACTATTCTAGCTCAAAATAAAGATAATAAAAAAGAACATATAATTGTATATTGTTACCGTAGTAACATAAATTTCTCTAATTCGATAATCTTTTATTGATTATGCAAAATTCCCTTTTTCTTAATTTTTATAATTTATCACCTGATTAATATTATTTTTATCCAATCGTATAATTATCTCACTTTATATT